CGCTCATCATGGCACTCCGCTCGTCACTTCTTTCCAGGATGAAGAGGAAGCCTTGGGGAGAATCACCCTCTGGGTTCGTCCATTTTACCAATTACAAGTCCACCTCACCGTAGTTTTGCCTCGCCCACATTGGACTAGTTTCCTTGCCAGAAGGTCATGGGGGACCTTGTCAAAGACCTTACTGAAATCCAGGTACGCTCCAACCACGGCATTCCCCGCATCTACCCAGCTTGTAATTCTATCGAAAAAAGAGATCAAATGAGTCTGGCATGACTTGTTTTTGATAAATCCGTGTTGACTATTAGCGATGACCGCATTCGTTTCTAAGTATTTGCAGACAGCTTCCTTAACAATCTTTTACAGAATCTTGCCTGGTTTCGAGGTGAGGCTGACCGGACAGTAATTGTTTGGGTCATCCTTTTTTCCCTTCTTGAACATTGGGACCACATTGGCCCACTTCCAATCTGCTGGAACTTCTCCCGTTCTCCAATAACTCTCAAAGATGATTGCCAATGGTTCCGAAATTACTTCCGCTAGTTCCTTCAATACTCTTGGGTGTAGTTGATCTGGCCCTGGGGACTTGAATTCGTTTAGAGCGGCCAGGTATTTCTGGATGACTTGTTTCCCAATTTGGGGTTGGATGCCCTCTAATCCCTCATCCACTCCATCTTGCTGAGATTGAAGATGACTTTTTTTTGTGAGAAGACCAAGGCAAAGAAGGTATTAAGTAGTTCTGCCTTTTCCCTATCCCCTGTCAGCATTGCCCCATCTTCTCCTTGAAGAGGCCCCTTGTTTTTCCATTTTCTACTGACGTAAGAAAAGAAGCCCCTTTTATTGTTTTTAATGTCCCTGGCAAGCCTGAGCTCGTTTTGTGCTTTAGCCTTGCAGACCTTTTCCCTACAGGAGTTGGCTATTTCTTTTAATTCTTCTTTGGTGATTTTTCCCTTTTTCCACTTCTTGTGCATGTCTCTTTTGTGTCTTAGCACAGTTAGAAGTTCTTTGGACATCCATTCTGGCTTCTTTGCACTTGTCCTATTTTTTCTCTTTGTTGGCATTGTTTGCAATTGCGCCTTGAGTATTTCACTCTTGAAAAACTCCCATCCACCGTAACTCCCTTGTCTTTTAGTATCTTCATCCACAGAATGCTGCTCAGTATTTCCTTCATTTTTCGGAAATGAAGTTTGTGACAGCCACAAAGACCAAGTTTCTGGAGTAGAACAACTACTTGCACACAATTAAATAACACTTTCAAACCAGGAACAGAACATTTTTTCAAAATTTTGTTGCATCATTTATTTCCCCAAGTGCAAAATGATTCGTTTTCCTGTTTGTGAAGTTTAAGCATGTCTATACAAAGGCACAATCCATGAGATACTAATGTTTTTTGCTACACATCCATTACAGCAATGTTTCTCAACTTGGGGGTCGGGGCTGGAAGGAGGTTTGTGCCAGCAAGTCCCTTCAAGGCATAGGGTTCTTTGTGGGAGGTTTAGCCTAATTCTAATTCTACAATTGATGGGGTTCAGAATGCTCTTTGATTGTAGGTGAACTATAAATCCCACCAACTACTCCCAAATGTCAAGGTCTATTTCCCCCAAACTCCACCAGTGTTCACATTTGGGTATATTGAGTATTTGTGCCAAGTTTGCTCTGGATCCATCATTGTTTGAGTCCACAGTGCTCTCTGGATGTAGATGAACTACAACTCCAAAACTTAAGCTCAATGCCCACCAAACCCTTCCAGTATTTTCTATTGGTCATGGTAGTTCTGTGTACCAAGTTTGGTTAAGTTCCATCGTTGATGGAGTTCAGAATGCTCTTTGATTGTGGGTGAACTGTAAATTCCACCAACTTCAACTCCCAAATGACAAAATCAATCCCCCCCCCCATTTGTGTCAATTTTGGTCCAAATTTGGTCCAGTGAATGAAAATTTATCCTGCCTTTGTCTGTGTATTTGTCTGTCATTGTTGTTGACTGTATAAAAGGCACTGAACGTTTGCCTTTGTCTGTGTATATTGTAATCCTCTCTGAGTTCTCTTGGGGAGATAAAGCAGAAGATAAATAAAGTGTATTATATTATTATCATTATTATTACCCTGCTAGCGAGTTGACTAGTAGTATAAAGGATGGATCTCTGTAATGCAAAATCCAGTGTACTCTAGAGATAAGTGAGCCATGGAATTGAGTGAAATGGGCAAGCAGCTGTCCCTCTGTGGTCTGGTGTCATTTGTCTGTCCTGGTTTCCATCTCCAGATCCCCGCTTGTACCAGGAGATCCGTGAAAAAGGCCTCAACTCTATCAGCCACGAGTCGGACGATGATCTTCTCGACATCCCGGAAGAGCCCCCAAGTTCAGACTCCATTATTGTGGTGAGCAATTACCGCCCTGCTCATGTCACCTGGAGCCAGCTCCCAGAGGTAAGGCAGCTGCCGCGAGGAAAGAACGAACCTTGACTTTTGCTTTGCAGCATCCCCCCCCCCCCCGGTTTCATTTATCCATTCAAAATACTGTATATACTTGAGTATAAGCCTAGTATTTCAGCCCCTTTTTTAGGCTGAAAAATCTCCCCTCGGCTTAAAGTCGAGTCAATGTTATTTACTAGGCTTGGGTAACCACGGAAAAATTTGGTTCTAAACTCGTTTCGTTTTTAGGGGGCCCTTGCGTTTCGTTTTTTTAAAGAATTCCGAAATTTTACTTAAAAAAATTTCGAAATATATGAAATTTCGTAAAATTACGAATCGATTCGTTAATGGCGGACGCGATTGTGCAATATGCTAAAAAAAACCTCCAAATGGGACAGGGGGAACTTCTGAAGCTTCCCTCTCCCTCTGTTGTTGACTGTTGGTGTGATAAAACAAACAACAACTATATTATATTAGATTAGATTATATTATTTATTTACTTTGCTTGTATACCGCAGTTTCTCAGCCCGTAGGCGACTCAACGTGGTTCACAACAAGAGCAAAAAGACAATCCTAGCAATATACAATTTTAAACCATTAAGAGCGTAATATACAAAGCAAAGACACATCAATAACAACACAATAACGTCTCCTAACTAGAATCGTGATACAAATTCGTCATCTATGATTCCGTTCCTATGTTCACCATATTCATTGCACTGTTTATCCGAATGCCTGTTCAAACAGCCAGGTTTTTAGTTTTCTTCGAAACACCATTAGCGTAGGAGCTGATCTAATGTCCATGGGAAGGACATTGTATATGTATATTATATTATAGTATTATATTATTGTATATTATATTATATTATATTATATTATATTATATTATATTATTATAATATTGTTATATTATATTATATTATATTATATTATTATATATATAATATATATAATATATTCTATTATATTATAATTGTATATTATATTATATTATATTACATTATATTATAATATATTACATATATTATATTATAATATACAATTATAATATAATAGAATAATAATATAATATATAATATAATAATATAATATGCAATACTATAATATAATAGTATTATAATAACATAATGTAATATAATATTATTATATTATAAATTATATTATTATTATTAAAATTACGAAATAATTAAGAAATAATTACGAAATAATTACGAAAATTGGAAAAAATTGTTTCGATTCTTAATTACTCCTCACACTATTCCTGCATGGCTCAATATTGGATCGTAAGCTAATTTAAATACGAATTAATAACGAATTACGAAATTAACGAACTGGATCGCCCAAGCCTATTATTTACTATTTTACTCTGTTATTATTATTTTATTGCATTTATTATTTTACTCTATTTATTATTATTATTACATTTATTATACTTTTATTGTTATTATAACAATTACTATTTTACCCTATTTATTATTGTTATTGTGTTACTGTGTCTGGTTGTGATCCCCAGGTTGTGCCAGTCAGCTTTCATATGATATTATTTCTAGCACCCATTTTTTGCTTGATACTCAAGCAGTGCTTCTTGTAAGTCAGAGCACGGTCCAGAATAAGCAAACACGGGAAACTTTAATCATGAACTGGAGAGTTCATGAAAGCAATCCTTATGGTGTTGTCTCCTCTGAGAGGCACCAAGTAAACACCACTTAATTTAAGCCCAAGCCCAACCAGGAAGACATGAAATCAACCCGAATGCACCTGGGCTTCAATACCTTCTAACGGAGTCTCTCAGAATGTCTAATTAATCTATCTTTGTCGAAGGCTTTCATGGCTGGAATCACTCAGTTCTTGTGGGTTTTTTCAGGCTATATGGCCATGTTCTAGAGGCATTTCTCCTGACGTTTCGCCTGCATCTATGGCAAGCATCCTCAGAGGTGAGGTCTGCTGGAACTGGGAAAAATGGGTTTATATATCTGTGGAATGACCAGGGTGAGACAAAGGGCTTTTGTAAGTTGGGCTAGGTGTGGATCTTTCAACTGACCCCTTGATTAGCATACAATGGGCTGACTGTGCCTGGAGCAAACTCTTCTTGAAAGGTGATTAGATGTCCCTGCCTGTTTTTCTCTCTGCTGTTTTTGCTGTTGCAATTTTAGAATTTTTTAATACTGGTAGCCAGATTTTGTTCATTTTCATGGTTTCTTCCTTTCTGTTGAAATTGTCCACTTGTGTATTTCAATGGCTTCTCTGTGTAGTCTGACATGGTGGTTGTGAGAGTGGTCCAGCATTTCTGTGTTCTCAAATAAAATGCTGTGTCCAGGTTGGTTCATCAGGTGCTCTGCTATGGCTGATTTCTCTGGTTGGAGTAGTCTGCAGTGCCTTTTATGTTCCTTGATTCATGAAAGGAATCTGTGAACCCCACCTCCTCCAAGATGAACTGAACCACCTCAACTGGGCTCTCCAGGCCAATGGAGACTCCACCTCAGACCTCAGAAGAGCTGCAAGACCAAGAACAAGCCACGAGAGTAAAGATGAAGATCCACCCAGAGGAAAAGTGTTCCTGCCATACATCAAGGGAACCACTGACCGCATAGGGAAGCTGATGAGGAAACACAACATACAAACTATCTACAAACCCACCAAGAAAATCCAACAAATGCTACGTTCAGCAAAGGACAAGAGGGATCCTCTCACCTCTGCAGGAGTCTACCGTATACCATGCAGCTGTGGACAAGTCTAGGGACCACCAAACGCAGCATTGCCCAGACACGCATCAAGGAACATGAAAGGCACTGCAGACTACTCCAACCAGAGAAAGCAGTCATAGCAGAGCACCTGATGAACCAACCTGGGCACAGAAATGCTGGACCACTTGAACAACCACCATGTCAGACTACACAGAGAAGCCATTGAAATCCACAAACATGTGGACAATTTCAACAGAAAGGAAGAAACCATGAAAATGAACAAAATCTGGCTACCAATATTAAAAAAATTCTAAAATTAAAACAGCAGAGAAAAACAGGCAGGGACATCTAATCACCTTTCAAGAAGAGTTTGCTCCAGGCACTGTCAGCCCATTGTATGCTAATCAAGGTGGTCAGTTGAGAAGATTCACACCTAGCCCAACTTACATTCCACAGATATATAAACCCCTTTTTCCCATTTCCAGCAGACCTCACCTCTGAGGATGCTTGCCATAGATGCAGGCGAAACGTCAGGAGAAATGCCTCTAGAACATGGCCATATAGCCCGAAAAAACCCACAAGAACTAATCTATCTTTCACTCCCTCCATCCTCAAACCTAATCTGGCTTCACAAGAAAACTCCCCTTCGGCTGAAGGCCATTTCACAAGGGAACTGAAATCTTCACTTTCTGTTGCTTGGGAACAAGCACAGGAACCCCAAACACAGGCCAGGTTTTGTTCATTTTTATGTTGAAATTGTCCACATTTCAATGGCTTCTGTGTAGTCTGACGTGGTGGTTGTGAGAGTGGTCCAGCATTTTCTGTGTTCTCAATAATATGCTGTGTCCAGGTTGGTTCATCAGGTGCTCTGCTATGGCTGACTTCTCTGGCTTGAAGTAGTCTGCAGTGCCTTTCATGTTCCTTGATTCGTTTTTGGCAAAGCTGCGTTTGGTGGTCCCTATGGAGACTTGTCCACAACTGCATGGTAGCTCCTGTAAAAAATGAACAAAATCTGGTTTCCAGTATTTAAAATACTCTAAAATCAGGACAGTAAAGAAAGAGCAAGACTAAAAGAAAAGGGGAATTCCAGACAGGAAACAATCAGGGCCATCTAACACCTCCCAACAAAGGATTCCCCCAGGCAGGAAGCAGCCAGGCTTTGATGCTGCAAGACTTTGAAGCTGCAAGGCTTTGAAGCTCCAATCTGGCCAATTGCAACATTCACTCCTGTCTCCAACAGACAAGAGCTCTTTCTCCCACCCTGGACATCATTCCACAGATAAATAAACCCACTTGCCTTGTTTCCAACAGACCTCTCACACTCTGAGAATTCCTGTCGTAGATATGTGCAAAATGTCAGGAGAGAATTCTTCTGGAACATGGCCCGGCAGCCCAGAAAACTCACAGCAACCCAACACAGGTGTTGCTTCTGGACTTTTTGAGTCCAAGCCGCAAAGAGATTGGCGCCCACAGCTTTGTCTTACACTCAGATACCAAACTCTGAGCCGGTTAGCGCTAGAGTTTCTTGGGTCAATATTGACACAATGGTCTCCCCACCCTTTCTATAGGTGTGACTTGGACTTCCTTTGGAAGTCCCTTTAAAGGCAAGTGCAACATTCAATGGGGACGTTGTGCCTTAAAGGAGTGGCGGCCACCAAGGCGCCTCTTCCCTGGCCCAGCCTTGCCTTTCCTCCCGGCCACGAAGTCCAAAGATGTCTTCCTGGGGTGGCATCATGCTCTGAGCAGGATCGATCATGTTTGCTGAGAGACAGCTCTGTTTTTATTGTTCCAGACAGACATAGGCAAGGTGGGTGAGATAACAGCGAGAAGGGAAACGCCCTGCAAGGAGCAGGACAGTAATAAAATACCTTGCATGGTGAGTGGAGGTGGCTATTTAGTGCTCAGGAGAGGTTTTGCTACTGTTATGAATCGTAATGTAAATATGTGATATGCAGGATGCATTCTCATTCACTGGACCAAATTTGGCACAAAGACCCAATGTGCCGTCGTGCCTGGGGCTGAAAGACATGGACGTGACATCTTTTCCCCAGGGGATTGCTTCTTGCCCTCCTTTAGGGAACTGGAACTCCCAAGGACCAGGACACAACAGATAACTCAAAATGGTATTTATTGTTGACAAAGAGTTATCTTTCTGGGGGATTAATCTTGATATTTCAAAAGGGACAAGGAAAATATACGTTACAGTCTCTGAAGCCCCGGGTCCAAGGAGTTTTCCATTCATGTGGAATTTCATAGAATCAGAATCAAAGAGTTGGAAGAGACCTCATGGGCCATCCAGTCCAACCCCCTGCCAAGAAGCAGGAATATTGCATTCAAATCACCCCTGACAGATGGCCATCCAGCCTCTGTTTAAAAGCTTCCAAAGAAGGAGCCTCCACCCCACTCCGGGGCAGAGAGTTCCACTGCTGAACGGCTCTCACAGTCAGGAAGTTCTTCCTCATGTTCAGATGGAACTCATTGTGAGGATGAAGCCATTGTTCCGCGTCCTAGTCTCCAGGAAGCAGAAAACAAGCTTGCTCCCTCCTCCCTGTGGCTTCCTCTCACATATTTATACATGGCTATCATATCTCCCCTCAGCCTTCTCTTCTTCAGGCTAAACATGCCCAGCTTCCTTAAGCCGCTCCTCATAGGGCTTGTTCTCCAGACCCTTGATCATTTTAGTCGCCCTCCTCTGGACACATTCCAGCTTGTCAATATCTCTCTTGAATTGTGGTGCCCAGAATTGGACACAATGTTCCAGATGTGGTCTAACCAAAGCAGAATAGAGGGGTAGCATTACTTCCTTAGATCTAGACACTATGCTCCTATTGATGCAGGCCAAAATCCCATTGGCTTTTTTTGCCGCCACATCACATTGTTGGCTCATGTTTAACTTGTTGTCCACAAGGACTCCAAGATCTTTTTCATCGAGCCAGGCATTGTCCCCCATTCTGTATCTTTGCATTTCGTTTTTCCTGCCAAAGTGGAGTCTCTTGCATTTGTCACTGTTGAACTTCATTTTGTTAGTTTTGGCCCATCTCTCTAATCTGTCAAGATCGTTTTGAATTCTGCTCCTGTCCTCTGGACTATTGGCTATCCCTCCCAATTTGGTGTCGTCTGCAAACTTGATGATCCTGCCTTCTAACCCTTCATCTAAGTCATTAATAAAGATGTTGAACAGGACCGGGCCCAGGACGGAACCCTGCGGCACTCCACTTGTCACTTCTTTCCAAGATGAAGAGGAAGCATTGGTGAGCACCCTCTGGGTTCGTCCATTTAACCAATTACAGATCCACCTCACCGTAGTTTTGCCTAGCCCACATTGGACTAGTTTCCTTGCCAGAAGGTCATGGGGGACCTTGTCGAAGGCCTTACTGAAATCCAGGTACGCTACATCCACGGCATTCCCCGCATCTACCCAGCTTGTAGCTCTATCGAAGAAAGAGATCAGCTTAGTCTGGCATGACTTGTTTTTGATAAATCCATGTTGACTATTAGCGATGACTGCATTTGTTTCTAAGTGTTTGCAGACCACTTCCTTAACAATCTTTTCCAGAATCTTGCCTGGTATCGACGTGAGGCTGACCGGACGGTAGTTGTTTGGGTCATCCTTTTTTCCCTTCTTGAAGATTGGGACCACATTGGCCCTCCTCCAATCTGCTGGAACTTCTCCTGTTCTCCAAGAACTCTCAAAGATGGTTGCCAATGGTTCCGAAATGACTTCCGCTAGTTCCTTCAATACTCTTGGGTGTAGTTGATCTGGCCCTGGGGACTTGAACTCATTTAGAGCGGCCAGGTATTCCTGGACGACTTGTTTCCCAATTTGGGGTTGGATGTCCTCTAATCCCTCATCCACTCCATCTTGCTGAGGTTGAAGATGACTTTCTTTTTGTGAGAAGACCGAGGCAAAGAAGGCATTAAGTAGTTCTGCCTTTTCCCTATCCCCTGTCAGCATTGCCCCATCTTCTCCTCGAAGAGGTCCTATCGCCTCCTTGTTTTTCCTTTTTCTACTGACATAAGAATAGAAGCCCTTTTTATTGTTTTTAATGTTCCTGGCAAGTCTGAGCTCGTTTTTTGCTTTAGCCTTGCGGACCTTTTCCCTACAGGTGTTGGCTATTTGTTTGAATTCTTCTTTGGTGATTTCTCCTTTTTTCCACTTCTTGTGCATGTCTCTTTTGTGTCTCAGCACAGTTAGAAGTTCTTTGGACATCCATTCTGGCTTCTTTGCACTTGTCCTATTTTTTCTCTTTGTTGGCACGGTTTGCAATTGCGCCTTGAGTCTTTCACTCTTGAGCTGTGAAAGTCGGAACAAACACAACCCCCAGTCCAATGGCCTATGTTGAAGGCACAGAGTCTTCCTTTTGATGCCAAAGGACCGGTTTGAAGGCGCTTGGGTCTCCTCAACGTCGTCCAGGGTGAACTGGGCATGAAGTATGAGTCCCAAGGGTAAAAACCTGAGAATTGGTGATGAGAGGTAACTTAATTAAGGGCTTTAGAGCCAAGTCCTTTTTCACGTCCATCTGCTGAGATGTTTGATGGAACACTGGTGAGGTTTGGGGAAAATAGACCTTGACATTTGGGAGTTGTAGTTGCTGGGATTTATAGTTCACCTACAATCAAAGAGCATTCTGAACTCCACCAATGATTGGAATTGAACCAAATATGGCACACAGAACTCCCACGGCAAACAGAAAATATATATCAATGATTGGTTTGGGGGGGGGGGGATACTGTTTGCTTACCATTGAAAATGGTACCTCTGAGAAGGAGAGGGTGGGGGAGTGATTTTGTAATTTGGGAGTTCTAGTTGCTTGGATTTATAGTTCATCTACAATCAAAGAGCATTCTGTTTTGGAACAAGGGGAGTACTAGATCAGTGTTTCTCAACCTTCCTAATGCCACAACCCCTTAACACAGTTCCTCATGTGGTGGTGACCCCCAACCATGACATTATTTACGTTGCTACTTCATAACTTTCATTTTGCTACTGTTATGAATCGTCATGTAAATATCCGATACGCAGGATAAATTTTCATTCACTGGACCAAATTTGGCACAAATACACAATACGCTCAAATTTGAATACTGGTTGGGGGGATTGATTTTGTCATTTGGGAGTTGTAGTTGGTGGAACTTATAGTTCACCTACAATCAATGAGCATTCTGAACTCCACCAACCGAATTTCCCACACAGAACTCCCACGACTAACAAAAAGTACTGGAAGGGTTTGGTGGGCATTGACCTTGAGTTTGGGAGTTGTAGTTCACCTATATCCAGAGAGCACTGTGGACTCAAACAATGATGGATCTGGACCAAACCTGGCACGAATATTCCATATGCCCAAATATGAACACAGATGGAGTTTGGGGAAAATAGACCTTAGCATTTGTGATTTGTAGTTACTGGGATTTATAGTTCACCTAAAACCTTTTTATTTTAGTGTCCCATTTTCAAGAAGCCGTAGTGCACCTAGTGTAGGTTGTTGCATTGGCAGCAAAGTATTGATACCAAAGCTGGAATTGTGTTTGTCTTCTGCAGGTGCAGGAAGCAGGAATTCTGGATTCGATATCCCAAGAGGAACGCAAAAGGCAAGAGGTAAGGAAAGCTGTTAGAACAGGCAAACTTCGGCCTTCCAAGTGTTTTGGAGTTCAGAGGGTTACTTACATATGAGGGGTGTTCATTAAAGACTTCCTCTGACCCACTTCTATTTATCACAGGATGCTGAAACTGCACATGTGTAATGATATGTCTCTATTTATTTATTTATTTACAGCTTTTCTATTCCGCCCTTCTCACCCCGCAGGGGACTCAGGGCGGATTACAGTGTACACATATATGGCAAACATTCAATGCCAATTTTTGACATACAAACATATACAGACATACACAGAGGCTATTTAACTTTTCTGGCGGCTGTCGCTTTCATCGTCCATCTGCGACGCTGATGAAGCACTTCCGCATTCCCCGCATGCTTCCCCGCTGGAATGCTTTGCTGGAGTCTTTTTTATGGCCTCATAAATCAGTTAATTTAGCCTCCCCACACTTTAAGGTGGTACCTAATTTTCCTACTTGACAGATGCAACTGTCTTTCGGGTTGCAAAGGTCGACAACAGGCTACACACAATTGGTTGGAAACCCACTCCAACCTGGGCTGGCTTCGAACTCATGACCTTTTTGGTTAGAGCAGTGGTTCTCAACCTTTCTAATGCCGCAACCCCTTAATACAGTTCCTCGTGTGGTGGTGACCCCCCGACCATAACATTACTTTCGTTGCTACTTCATAACTGTAATTTTGCTATTGTTATGAATCGTAATGTAAATATCTGATATGCAGGGTGTATTTTCATTCACTGGATCAATCTGGGCACAAATACCTGATACACCCAAATCTGAATACCGGTGGGGTTGGGGGGAGTCATTTATCATTTGGGAGTTGTAGTTTCTGGGATTTATAGTTCAGCTACAATTAAAGAGCATCCTGAACTCCACCAATGATGGAATTGAACCAGATTTGGCACACATAACTCCCATGAACAAGAGAAAATACTGGCAGGGTTTGGTGGGCATTGACCTTGAGTTTGTGGAGTTGTAGTTCACCTACATCCAGAGAGCACTGTGGACTCAAACAATGGTGGATCTGGACCAAACTTGGCATGAATACTCCATATGCCCAAATGTGAACACTGGTGGAGTTTGGGGAAAATAGACATTGACTTTTGGAATTTGTAATTACTGGGATTTATAGTTTGCGTAAAATCAAAGAGTTTTCTGAACTCCACCAACGATAGAATTGGGCCAAACTTGACACACGAAACTCCCTTGACCAACAGAAAATACTGTGTTTTCTGATGGTCTTCGGTGACCCCTCTGATGCCCCCTTGCCACCTCCCCAGGGGTCCCGACCCCCAAGTTGAGAAACACTGGGTTAGAGTGATCTTAATGCAGCTGACACTTAGCCAGCTGCGCCACAATCCTGGTGAATATGAGGAACTTCCTGACTGTGAGAGCCGTTCAGCAGTGGAACTCTCTGCCCTGGAGTGTGGTGGAAGCTCCTTCTTTGGAAGCTTTTAAACAGAGGCTGGATGGCCATCTGTCAGGGGTGCTTTAAATGCAATATTCCTGCTTCTTGGCAGAATGGGGTTGGACTGGATGACCCATGAGGTCTCTTCCAACTCTATGATTCTATGATTCTATGAATCAAAACTTCCAAGAACTTAAAATAAAAAAATGAACTGAAAACAGGACTTGATAGCCTTACTCTTACACAGTGTTGCCTGATCTGAATTTTCAACAAGACACTCTCTAATTTAAGAGCTGTAAAACACGAAGGCATTTCTTTGACCTTGACTTTCTGACTTGTGAAACTTTCTTGAAGGCTTGGGAGAAATTCCTCTCAGTTGCGTCATGAAATATAAATCCTATCAAACTCTACAATACGATGGGTCGCTTTAGGAGCCTTACGGTGTATCTGCTCTCCTTTATTGATGCCATGGATTTGTCATTCACAATGCAAGATCAAGAGAAAATTCCTCCCAAGTCCCAGGATGTTTCACCTCTCTTAATATTGGCCCCTTCTTATTGTGTTTTTGTTTTGCAGGCAATTTTTGAGATTGTGACTTCGGAGTATTCCTACATGAGGAGCCTGGAGATCCTGGTCAACCACTTCTTGAAGTCCGAGGGACTGAAGGAGACCATGACCCAGACGGACCACCACCACCTCTTCTCCAACATCGGGGACATCTTGGCGGTCAGCAAGAAGTACGTCTGAAGGGGAAGAAGCTTGGGATAACGTTTTGGGAAGCAGTTTGGAATGTCAGGTGCAAACTAGAGAAACCTACATTCAAGTGAAGTTTATGGAACTTCAAGGGCAAGTCATTTGACTTTGCATATTATTATTTTGGTTGTTGTTAACTTTATTATGTTTATTTATTACTAACTTGGGGACCTGGTTGTCCATAAGCATGTTGGTGAACAACAACACACATTTTATTTATTTATTTATTTATGCAACATTTACATACCGCCCTTCTCACCCTGAAAGGGACTCAGAGCGGCTTACAAGTAAAAAGTAAATACAATCTATCTATACCCATAATAAAAGTGAAAAATGTGTATGTGGCAGAGGTGTCTACCATTACACAGACATCCTCCAGCCTCCACAAACAGGCTATAGTTTCAAGTGTTGAGAAGTCTCCAAAGGCACTCCCTCCACTGACATTGTAGGTTATAGCGAGTGCTATGAACTAGGCCTGTGCGATTTAGTTCGTTATTTCGTTATTAATTCGTTATTTTTGCATTTTTGAAGCGATATCAAAACACATTTTCAAACCCGGAAGGGTTTAAAAATATCGAACCGGCAGCCCCCATAAATTTAACGAGCTTCCGCTCGTTTCGTTAATGGGATGGAGGCTGCCGGAGTGGTGCCATTCCCCTCTTTCTCGGCCTGGGCTGCTCTCCCCGCCCTCTTTCCCCTCTCCCCGTTTTTCAACACTCCTCCTCCTCCACATGCGGCTGCATAGTGAGTGAAGTACTGTATTATAATAGCGCTGCATCAGGGGCGGCTGAAGCAACTTACGTGCCAAATCCCTGGCTGTGGGCTGCTTGGCTTGCTTGCTCGCTTCTCCAAGCGGGCGAAAGGAGAGGGAGAGAGAAAAACAGTGTGCTGCTGCCTGTCTCTTTAAGGAAGGAGCACATGGAGCCCTCGGCTGCCCGTTTGGCGGAGGGAGGGAGGCAGGCGTGCGCTTGGTTGCTCTGGGTTTAGCTGAGGAGAAAAAAAGAGCAACCAAGCGCGCGCCTGCCTCCCTCCCTCCGCCAAACGGGCAGCCGAGGGCTCCATGTGCTCCTTCCTTAAAGAGACAGGCAGCAGCACACTGTTTTTCTCTCTCCCTCTCCTTTCGCCCGCTTGGAGAAGCGAGCAAGCAAGCCAAGCAGCCCACAGCCAGGGATTTGGCACGTAAGTTGCTTCAGCCGCCCCTGATGCAGCGCTATTATACAGTACTTCACTCACTATGTAGCCACATGTGGAGGAGGATTCAGGAGCATTCTCTCCTGACGTTTCTCTCATATCTTATAGCAGGCATCCTCAGAGGTTTGTTGGAAACTAGGCAAGTAGGGTTTATATCCCTGTGAAATAACGTCCAGGGTGGGAGAAAGAACCCTTGTCTGTTGGAGGCAAGTGTGAATGCTGCCATTGGCCACCTTGATTAGCATTGAATGGCCTCGCAGCTTCAAAGCCTGGCTGTAGAAGGTCCAGGGTGGGAGAAAGAACTCTTGTCTGTTGGAGGCAAGTGTGAATGTTGCCATTGGACAGCTTGATTGGGATTAAATGGCCTTGTAGCTTCAAAGTCTGGCTCCTTCCTGCTCAGGGGAATCCTTTGTTGGGAGGTGTTAGCTGGGTCTGACTCAAACCCGCTATGTCTGTATAGTAGGCCTGTGCGGTTTCGTTTTCCATTTTAAAATATTTTTAATATTATTTTTTAATATTATTTTTTAATATTATTTTTTAATATTATTTTTAATATTATTCTTAAAAAATACAAAAAAATATTCTAAAAATTCGTTAATATTTACAAAATTTTGTAAATACCAAAACTTTTTTTGGGAAAGTTTTGTAATTATTTTAAATATCGAAACAAAAAAACACCCCAATTACAAAACGATTTTAGAAACAAATTTTTTCTTGATCAAACAGGCCTAATGAATACTTATACGCTGCCAATGTACTCCACAAACACTACTGCCCACCACCCAAGGAATGCTTTCATTCGGGAAGAATTTCATCCTAGATTTGATGTGTTTCCTCCATCACAGGCAGGCATCCCTGGGTTCCTTGTGTGAATTTGCATGACCACGCCCACTGCTTCTCCCTTCACCCTTTCCTACCCTTTCGTATGGCACACAGCAAACTCAGAGGAATTGATCAGACTGGAGAGGTCCAGCAATGGACCAGGACCAAACATGGCACAGAGAAGCCCTGTGACCAACTGAACATACTGCAGGGGTTTGGGGGAAATGACCTTGATTTTGGGAGATGTAGTTCACCTGCATCTCGAGAGCACTCAACCAAGCTGATGACGGATCTGGACCACACTCGGCACACAGACTCAACACGGCCAACTGTAAACACTGGCTGGGTTTGGAGGTGATTGCAATGGGAATCTGGGAATTGTAGTTCACCCTTATGTAGAGACACTGAACCCAGTCAACCACAGATCTGGACCAAACTTGGCACACAGACTCAACATGGCCAACTGTCCATACAGGCCTGGTTTGGGGAGAGTGGACCCACAATTCTGGGAATTTTTGTTCACCCACATCATTATGTATTTTGTAATGGGAGCATTCCTAAAAAACAAAATCGCATTCTGGCTTTTTCCTGATAAATAGGGTTACTAATTAACTAAACGATATTACCCAATACCCCAAAACAAACAATGCCTTTTTCAAATAACCCGGGCACTGCCGGGTGCCCAAGCTAGTATATTATATTATTATCATAGCACAATATTAATATTATGTATTACATTGTACTATAACATTATCCTGTAATGTTATTAGTAATATTACATTTAATATAAAATAGATAATAATATCATATTATTATTAGTAGTATATTGTATTGCATTATAATATTATCAATTATTACCACACATCATGCCAAGTTGATCCCAAAAAACTCCATCAGTACTTCAAATGTTAGGGAAGTTTGCTCAAGATTTATCATCGGTGGGGTTCAGTGTGCTCTTTGGCTGTAGGGTAAACTACAACTCTCACTATGGTGAATCAGTCCCTTCAAACTCCTCCAGGAGGTTGAGTTAGTCATTGGGGTTCTGTGTGCCAAGTTTGGTACAGGTCCATCATCGGTGGAGGTCACTGGATGTGGATGAACTAGAACTTGCAAAAGTAAGGGCAGTTCAAACCACCCTCCACCCCCCAGTAATCAAATTTCAGCATATCAGGTCCAGATCCATTGGTGTCTGGGTTCACAGTGCTCTCTGGATGTAGGTGAACTACAACTCCCCTAAATCAAGGTGAATTTTCCCCAAAGACCTCCAGTATTTTTTGCTGGTCAAGGGGGCTCTGTGTGCCAAGTTTGGTCCAAGAGCATTCTGAACTCCACCAATGATGGAATTGGGCCAAACTTAGCACACAGGGCTCCCATGACCAACAGAAAAAAGTGGAAGGGTCTGGTAGACATTGACCTTGAGTTTGGGAATAATAATAATAATAATAATAATAATAATAATAATAATCTTTATTTATACCCCGCCACCATCTCCCCAGTGGGGACTCGGAGCAGCTTACATGGGACCAAGTCCAGACAACATATTACAGCAATAAAATCAAAGCATAAACAACAGACAACAACAACATCATCAGAATACATTAATTTAAAACTCACAAAACACATAGAGTTGTGAGGCTGAGCTTCCCATTTGGGGGGCACGAATTCCAGTAGCAGAAAAACGTTGAGGGGTGCAAAATGTTATGAAGTGCACCTACTCACCAAAGGCGCAGCAGAAGAGCCAGGTTTTAAGGTTCTTTTTAATGTTTCTAGTGTAGGGGCTTTCCTGATCTCTCCAGGTAAAGAGTTCCAAAGTTGGGGAGCCTCCAAAGAAGGAGCCTTCACCACACTCCAATGAAATAATGTTACCAAGTTCTGCTTTATATTATTGTCTTCCCTTTCCCTTTCTTTTGCATGTCTCCAGCTTTTTTGAGGACTTGGAAAAGAGGCACCAGGAGAACGTCCTGATCCCAGACATCAGCGACATTGTGGCGGCTCACGCCAGCGACCATTTCAATCCGTACGTCATCTATTGCTCCAATGAGGTCTACCAGCAGAGGACCCTTCAAAAGCTCTTGTGAGTGGCCCACTTGCTCCAAATTATTCTTACAGAGGGCATTCAATAAAGATTTCCCCTGACCCACTTCTATGTGTTACAGGACTCTGAAACTGCACATGTGTAATGATACAAGTCTCTATAGGTAATGTGCCAATTTACAACTCAGAACTGAAAATGGTATTGATGTTACAGGTGCCGAAGTGGTGTGAGGTTTTGAGACTGGACCCACTGGAATACAGAGCAGCCACCAAGTTCCTTTTCTTGAAGGAAAGGAGACGTTTGATGAGATGAAAGAGGTTGATGTTGATGATTCCCCATCATATGATGTAGTCAAGAATTGGCATGATCAGTTCAAATGTGGTCGGACTTCAGTGGAAACAGCTTCAATTCCAGGGTGACCCCACTCTGCTATTGATGAACACACCATTCAGCAAGTGGAGGTCGCCATTTTGGAAAATTGCCACCTCACCATTCGCCACCTAGCCCAAAATGTCAAGATGAGTGTGGGCTCCATGGAAGAAATCACGAAAAACCATCTTCACTTATTTATTTATTATTATTTATTTTATTTCATTTACTTATACCCCGCCCTTCTCACCCCGAGGGGGACTCAGGGCGGCTTACAGAGGAGGCAGAATTAAATGCCTAAATCAATTGACAAAAATACAAATACAACAAAAACAATTCAACAGTTAAAGTTAAAACATCAGTACATAATAAAATATTAAAACAATCTCATGCTCGGGTTCAGAGTCCATATAACCATTCCATTCCATTTGTCGTTGTCTGTCGTCAGATCCTTAATTTAGCTGCCAGTGTGTCCAAAGGCTTGGTCCCAGACCCAGGTCTTCAGTTGTTTCCTGAATGCCAGGAGGGAGGTCGCCGATCTAATCTCCCCGGGGAGTGAGTTCCACAGGTGGGGGGCCACCACTGAGAAGGCCCTGCTCCTCGTCCCCGCCAACCTCACTTGTGAGAGTGGCGGGGTCGAGAGCAGGCCTCCCCAGAAGATCTTAAGCTTCGAGGTGGGATGTAGAGGGAGATCCGTTCGGACAAATACACTGGGCCGGAACCGTATAGGGTTTTATAGGTCAAAACCAGCACTTTGAATTGTGCTCGGAATTGGATCGGCAGCCAGTGGAGCTGACGCAACAGGGGGGTGGTATGCTCCCTGTACGCCGCTCCAGTGAGCAATCTGGCTGCTTCTCGCTGGACTAGTTGAAGTTTCCGAGCAGTCTTCAAAGGCAACCCCACGTAGAGTGCGTTGCAGTAATCCAACCGGGATGTGACAAGAGCGTGGACCACCGTGGCCAGATCAGACTTCCCAAGGTATATGCTTAAGGTATATGCTTGCTGGGTCCCCCAGCTGCTCACACCTTTCCAAAAGCAGGAACGAGTTGAATGCTCTCCGGCTCTCTTGACAATGATGTGCCATGGAAACCAGGAGGACTTTTTCAACAGACTGATCCCACAAGAGGAAAGCTGGGTCCATCACTCTGATCCTGAGACTCAAGTCCAGTTGATGGAATGGAAGCATCCTGACTCACCGCTTCCAAAGAAGGCACGTGCCCAACTCTTGGCAGGCAAGGCCATGCTTACAGTATTTTGAGACCAGCACTGAGTCATATGGATGGATTTCCTAGTAAAGGAGACCATGATCACCGGGACAGACTAGGTTGGAATGAACACTACCAAAGCCTCCTGAACCGCAGCTCCAATGTGGCCAAAGAGGTTCTCTCACAAATCCCGCAACAACAAACCAGGGCTGAGCTTGCAGCACTGCCTAGTTTGGAAGAAGTCAGCAATGCCATCAGCCAACAAAAAAATAACAAAGCCAGCAGACCTGATGGGATCCCTGCTGAAATATTTAAAGAGGGAGGACCTGCGCTGACACAACAACACCAGCTCATAGAAAAATTATGGGTGACTAAGAAAATCCCAGCAGATTTCAAGGATGCCACCATTACCACCCTCTTCAAAAAAGGGGAAAGAACAAACTGCGGAAACTATCGAGGTATCTCCCTCCTAACCTCCGCTGGGAAAATCCTCCCAAGAATCCTTGCAAACCGCCTTCTACCCCTCTCCGAAGACACCCTCCCAGTATCCCAGAATGGCTTCTGCCCCTCCAGAGGAACCGTGGACACGATCTTCACTGCACGACAGCTCCAAGAAAAATGCAGGGAACGAAATCAACCTCTGTACATGGCATTCATCAACCTTGCAAAGGCATTTGACACAGTGTGAATCGCAGCACTCTCTGGACCATCCTCCAAAAAATCGGGTGTCCTAACAAATTTGTGAACATCCTGCGGCTCCTCCATGATGACATGATGGCAACAGTCTTGGACAGCAATGGCTCCCAAAGTGACCCATTTAAGGTGGAATCAGGTGTCAAACAGGGATGTGTTATTGCCCCAACTTTATTCTCCATCTTCATCGCTATGATACTTCACCTTGTTGATGGGAAGCTTCCCACCGGAGTGGAAATCATATATTGGACAGATGGCAAGCTATTCAACCTCAGCAGACTGAAAGCCAAAACCAAGGTTACAACAACATCTGTTATAGAACTCCAATATGCTGATGACAACGTTGTCAGTGTGCATTCAGAAGAAGAAATACAAGCCACTCTAAACACCTTCGCAGAAGCTCGGCCTGTCATTGAACATAGAGAAAACCAAAGTGCTCTTCCAGCAGTCACCAGCCAATCCGTCTGCAATGCTAGAGATACAGCTTAATGGTGTAACATTAGAAAATGGTGATCATTTCCACTTTCTTGGCAGCCACCTCTCCACCAAAGTCAACATTGACACTGACATACAACACTCTTAAAAACTCTGGCATAGAGAAGATGCAAATACTGAAGGTGCAAAAATTGGAAAATATGAATACAAAATAAGAGCTTTTGCTGATGACTTGCTAGTTATTGTAGAAGACCCAATTAACAACTTGCAAAATTGGATTAAAGAAATACATGAATTTGGAAAGGTGGCAGGCTTTAAAATGAATAAAGGGAAAACTAAAATACTAACTAAGAATGTAGATAAGGACAAACAACAAAGAATTGCATAGAATACAGGAATGGAAATAGTAAAGAAATTAAGATATTTAGGGATTTGGCTGTCGGCGAGAAATGGTCAACTTTTGAAGAACAACTCTGAAATGACCTGGAATAATATACAGAAAGACCTTAAGAAATGGGAATTTTTGAACTTATCCTTATTAGGTAGGATCTCCCTTATAAAAATGAATGTTGGTTGGGGGTGTTGGTTGGGAGTGGGTGTCAATCTATCTTTCCTACTTTACTATCAAATATTCCCCCTCTTTCCATGTAATTCTAGAAAACTTTAATAAAAATCATTTTTTAAAAACTCTGGCATAGACACTGAGAAGTGGGAAGCCCTGGCCCTTGAGCACTCCAGTTGGAGGTCAGCTGTGACCAGCAGTGTTGTAGAATTTGAAGAGGCATTTACTTAAAAAGATGGGAAAAGTGTGTGTCCCGAGGTGGCAACGATGGAGAGAAGGACTCATAACTGGACCAAGTTTCATTGCTCTCAATCCACAGGAAGTGGGTCAGGGGAAATCTTTCATGAATGCCCGTCATACGTAAGTATTCCCCATATCCGGACCTAACACTGTGTCCCTGTATCATTTCAGAGCCACAAATCCAGCCTTTAAGGAGACCTTGAAGCAGATTGAGCAGAAACCAGAGTGTGGCAGCCTTCCTTTGATCTCGTTTCTCATCCTCCCCATGCAGAGAGTGACCCGCTTGCCTCTGCTCCTCGATGTGAGTAGACACAATGGGGCTTCGAATATTGCTTTTGAAAAGGAAATGGTTACATCGCCCTTACTGTAAAAACTCCATTGTAATTCATACAATAACTTCACAGTGGTCTTCAAATTAGTGGATTTTTCAGCCTTAGTGGAAATATTGTAATATGCACTTGTACCTTTGAATCTTAGTGTCCAGGGAAGCAGAAAGCCTCTTCCTGGTGCAGCCTGTGATTTGAAAATATCACATTGCATGTCTTCCTTACTTTTAGACTGTTTGCCAGAAGACACAGATGTACACTCCGGCTTACGAGGCTGCCACTCAAGCCCTGAAGGCCATAAGTAAGGTAAATGTCTTGAAGCGTCAGATATTCCAGCTTGGACTCATTGCAGCAATTTAGTTAGTAAGTAGAGTGGGGTTTGCATTTAGATGCAAGGCTTGTAGATAATATGTCTGATGCTCAAATGTCCTTAAGCCTCGAATATAACATACTTTATTTATATGAGCAGATTACATATATGGCAAACTTTCAATGTCATTATACAATTAACAACCAAGACAGACTGTACACAGACAGAGGCAAAGGCTTCCTTTCCATCTCCTGCATCTGGAGGCTGTGCTCAACTTCAGTCACGGGGAAGCAAACATTCATTGCCATTATACAATTAACAACAAAGACAGACAGTACACAGACAGAGGCAAAGGCTTCCCCCTTTCCATCTCTGGCATCTGGCTGTGCTCAACTTCAGTCACGGGGAGGCAAACATTCAATGTCATTATACAATTAACAACAAAGACAGACAGTACACAGACAGAGGCAAAGGCTTCCCCCTTTCCATCTCCAGCATCTGGAGGCTGTGCTCAACTTCAGTCACGGGGAGGCAAACATTCAATGCCATTATACAATTAACAACAAAGACAGACAGTACACAGACAGAGGCAAAGGCTTCCCCCTTTCCATTTCCGGCATCTGGAGGCTGTGCTCAACTTCAGTCACGGGGAGGCAAACATTCAATGTCATTATACAATTAACAACAAAGACAGACAGTACACAGACAGAGGCAAAGGCTTCCCCCTTTCCATCTCCAGCATCTGGAGGCTGTGCTCAACTTCAGTCACGGGGAGGCAAACATTCAATGCCATTATACAATTAACAACAAAGACAGACAGTACACAGACAGAGGCAAAGGCTTCCCCCTTTCCATTTCCGGCATCTGGAGGCTGTGCTCAACTTCAGTCACGGGGAGGCAAACATTAAATGCCATTATACAATTAACAACAAAGACAGACAGTACACAGACAGAGGCAAGAGCTTCCCCCTTTTCATCTCCGGCATCTGGAGGCTGTGCTCAACTTCAGTCACGGGGAGGCAAACATTCAATGCCATTATACAATTAACAACAAAGACAGACAGTACACAGACAGAGGCAAAGGCTTCCCCCTTTCCATTTCCGGCATCTGGAGGCTGTGCTCAACTTCAGTCACGGGGAGGCAAACATTAAATGCCATTATACAATTAACAACAAAGACAGACAGTACACAGACAGAGGCAAAGGCTTCCCCCTTTCCATCTCCGGCATCTGGAGGCTGTGCTCAACTCCAGCCACGGGGAGGCAAACATTCAATGCCATTGTACAATTAACAACAAAGACAGACAGTACACAGACAGAGGCAAAGGCTTCCCCCTTTCCATCTCCGGCATCTGGAGGCTGTGCTCCACTTCAGTCACGGGGAGGCAAACATTCAATGCCATTATGCAATTAACAACAAAGACAGACAGTACACAGACAGAGGCAAAGGCTTCCCCCTTTTCATCTCCGGCATCTGGAGGCTGTGCTCAACTCCAGCCACGGGGAGGCAAACATTCAATGCCATTATGCAATTAACAACAAAGACAGACAGTACACACACAGAGGCAAAGGCTTCCCCCTTTTCATCTCTGGCATCTGGGGGCTGTGCTCATCTTCAGTCACGGGAAGGCAAACATTTAATGCCATTATACAATTAACAACAAAGACAGACAGTACACAGACAGAGGCAAAGGCTTCCCCCTTTCCATCTCCGGCATCTGGAGGCTGTGCTCAACTTCAGTCACGGGGAGGCAAACATTCAATGCCATTATGCAATTAACAACAAAGACAGACAGTACACAGACAGAGGCAAAGGCTTCCCCTTTTCCATCTCCGGCATCTGGAGGCTGTGCTCAACTCTGGCACAGGGAGGAAAACATTCAATGCCATTATAAAATTAACAACAAAGACAGACAGTACACAGACAGAGACAAAGGCTTCCCCCTTTCCATCTCCGGCATCTGGAGGCTGTGCTCAACTCCAGCCATGGGGAGGTGCTCTTGTTCCATTTTTCATGCCTAGGAGCCTGTTGTCTGTGGACACCTTCTTGATCCAATTGCCGGCATGTCTGCATGGATGCCTTTTACCTCCCCGCCAAAGCGGTACTTATTGATCTACTCACATTATTGTTTTCGAACTGCTAGATAGGCAGAAGCTAGGGCTGATGCCGGGGGCTGACCTTACAACCATTGAGGATGCCTGCCATAGATGTGAGAAAAACTTCAGGAGAGAATGCATCTTGAACATGGCCATACAGCCTGAAAAACTCACAACAACCTAGTGATTCCAGCCATGAAAGCCTTCGACAACACATAGTGTTGTTGCTTTTGCTGTTGTTGTTATTATTTAGTTTAACAACATCTTGAGCCTTTTCTGCCAAAGGATGTGGAAGCCTCACTAAACTATAAATCCCAGGATCGCATAGTATTGAGCCACGGCCATTAAATTGGCGATGAGGTCCCTCAAAGAGGAGCTCCAGGGGCTCCTGAAGCAGCTTCCCCTTTGGCTTTCACTCAGCATTAAGATGGCCGTATTACGCACACTAATTTTGTCAAAATAATTTAGCGCAAAAACGTGAGCATTAGATTTGAATTAATAGGGTTATTGGTACAGTTAAACCATCCTTCGCATTTGGATGTACTTTTGCTGTGCTGTATGCAAGGCTTCATTGTGCAAACGTGGTTCGCAAGTGTGCAAATGTCTTTGTGTGTGTGTCTTTGCTTTCCAGCTTGTGAAGCAGTGCAATGAAGGTGCCCACACCATGGAGCGGACGGAGCAAATGTGCACTTTGCAGAAGCAGCTGGCGTTTGGGAAAATCAAGGTGTGCTGTCGCGCGCTGGGCCTATAGCAATTGGCTTTTGAACAGGACGTGCTCTTTGTGCCCAGCGGGAAGCCGGGGTGCCTTGGATGAGAGGCCCTATGGGTTTTCCTATACAAAGTCTTTAGAAGTTTAAAAGTTTAACAAAGTTCTTTATTATTGCTTAGGCCTTCAACAAACAATCTTAGATCTTCAACAAATCAAACAAATGCTTCTTAACTTGTCTACAAACTTGCTTGGAGAACTATTTCTTTCCTTTACAAGGAAAACCCTTTTTGACCCCTCCTTGGGCAATCTGCTTTCTAGGCTTTGCTAGTGTGGGCTCTACTCCCGGCTCCAAATTGCTTCTTGGGTACCCAAGTAGACCTACCAGTCAAGGCTCTGAAGAATTTCCAGCTGGAGTCCTTAGGATTTTTCCCACGAAAGTTGTAGGTCTGTTTCTCCAACCCCAACAAGGGTTGTGCTGTAAAGTTGTTTCTCTTAAAAGCCTTTCTTTAGAGACTGTTCTTAAAGCTGTGAGGCTGTAAATTCCCCAGCCAGAGCTTTTGGGACTGTTTCCCCCCGGACTTTGTAAGAAACGAAGCTTCTCTACAGGTAGAAAACTTTCACGTCCTGTAGCTGAGCTTCCAACTGTGAGACTGAACTAAAACGGTTCCCTTTCCCTCCTGAACCTGGAAAAAAGGGCTGTAAAGCTGTTTCTCTTAAAAGCCTTTCTTTAGAGACTGTAAATTCCCCAGCCAGAGCTTTGGGACTGTTTCTCCCCGAATTTTGTAAGAAACAAAGCTTCTCTACAGGTAGAAAACTTTCACGTCCTGTAGCTGAGCTTCCAACTGTGAGACTGAACTAAAACGGTTCCCTTTCCCTCCTGAACCTGGAAAAAAGGGCTGTAAAGCTGTTTCTCTTAAAAGCCTTTCTTTAGAGACTGTTCTTAAAGCTGTGAGGCTGTAAATTCCCCAGCCAGAGCTTTGGGACTGTTTCTCCCCGAATTTTGTAAGAAACAAAGCTTCTCTACAGGTAGAAAACTTTCACGTCCTGTAGCTGAGCTTCCAACTGTAAGACTGAACTAAAATGGTTCCCTTTCCCTCCTGAACCTGGAAAAAAGGGCGGAACTAAAACTTAACGATGATAGACAGGTGGCTAGCCCCATGACTGCAGCCTAGCAGGAACCATCCAACTGCAAAATGCATGGCCAGAACAAGCACATGCAAACGCTCAAAGAACGAAAGGGAGTTTGGAGCTCCTGGTACAGCCGTACCAGCACACATATATTTTATTTATAGCTGTTTCTGTTAAAAGCCTTTCTTTAGAGACTGTTCTTAAAGCTGTGAGGCTGTAAATTCCCCAGCCAGAGCTTTGGGACTGTTTTCCCCCAGACTTTGTAAGAAACGAAGCTTCTCTACAGGTAGAAAACTTTCACGTCCTGTAGCTGAGCTTCCAACTGTGAGACTGAACTAAAACGGTTCCCTTTCCCTCCTGAACCTGGAAAAAAGGGCGGAACTAAAACTTAACTAAAACTTAACTACGTTTGGCATATCCGGGAGTCTAAATCCAGGGTGGAAACACCAGAAGTCACTTCCTATTTAAACACTTCCAATTTAAACACTTATTTACTTTCAAGCAGAGTAGAGAAGGGTTTCCAGAGGGTTGTTGAAGGCTGCAAAGCTCTCATCCTTCGATAGGCTGTGATGTTCACCTCTGGGAGTGTGTAGTATGTCGTACCTTAACGACCATGCATTGTACTCTGCTTAGCGACATATTGCCTACATATTGGAAACGTACCTTTCGTGCCTCGCCTTGTCTGCTTGCAAAACCCTTTCTTAGAAGGCTACTATGTAAATAGCTACCTAATCCATCCCTTGCTTTGTAAATAAACCCCGTCTTCTTTTAATTCGGGTTGGGTTTGTTTATTTAGGAGTTTATTGCTAATGGAAGAAACCCAGTCTTAGTTACAGGGAGCCATTTTGCTATCCTGGCTAAGGCTCTGGTTTCAGGAGGTTTTGAAACAGAGGCCAGATGGCCATCTGTCAGGGAGGGCTTTGATGGTGCTCTCCCTTCCCGGCAGAAGGGGGTTGAATGGCCTTTGGGGGTCTCTTCCAACTCCATGATGATAGATAGATAGATAGATAGATAGATAGATAGATAGATAGATAGAGGATAATAATATGATCTATTGTCGAAGACTTTCATAGCCAGAATCACTGGGTTATTGTTGTTGTTGTAGTAGTTGTAGTAGTAGTAGTAGTATTGGTATTAGTATTATGGAGTTGAAAGAGACTCTCAAAGGCCATCCAGTCCAACCCCCTTCTGCCAGGCAGGAAGATAGAATTACTATCATATTATTGGGTTGTTGTAGGTTTTTTCGGGCTATATGGCCATGTTCTAGAGCAGTGGTTCTCAACCTTCCTAATGCCGTGACCCCTTAATACAGTCCCTCATGTTGTGGTGACCCCCAACCATAACATTGTTTTTATTGTTACTTCATAACAGTCATTTTACTACTATTATAAATCGTAATGTAAATATCAGATATGCAAGATGTATTTTCATTCACTGGACCAAACTGGGCACAAATACCCAATGCACCCACATGTAAATGCTAGTGGGGTTGGGGGGGGGATTGATTTTGTAATTTGGGAGTTGTAGTTTCGGGGATTTATAGTTCACCTATCAAAGAGCATTCTGAACTCCATCAGCAATGGATTTGAACCTAGTTTGTCACACAGAACTCCCATGACCAACGGAAAACACTGGAAGGGTTTGGTGGGCATTGACCTTGAATTTGGGAGTTGTAGTTCACCTATATCCAGAGAGCACTGTGGATTTACGCAATGGTGGATCTGGACCAAACTTGGCACAAATACTTAATATGTGCAAATGTGAACACTGGTGGAATCTGGGGGAAATAGACCTTGACTTTTGGGAGTTGTAGTTGTTGGGATTTATAGTTCATTACAATCAAAGAGCATTCTGAGCTCCACCAATGATGGAATTGAACCGAACTTGGCACACAGAACTCCCACAACAAACATAAAATACTGGAAGGGTTTGGTGGGCACTGACCTCAAGTTTTGGAGTTTTAGTTCACCTACATCCAGAGAGCACTGTGTTGTGGACTCAAACAATGATGTATCTGGACCAAACTTGGCATGAATATTCCAGGTCCCCAAATATGAACACAGATTGATTTTTTCTGGGGGGGGGGGGGGGGGGAGACTTTGACATTTAGGAGTTGTATTTAGTGGGATTGATAGTTCACCTACAATCAAAGAGCATTCTGAACCTCACCAACGATAGAATTTGGCCAAACTTCCCACTCAGAACTTCCACGACCAACAGAAAATACTGTATTTTCTGATGGTCTTTGGCGACCCCTCTGATACCTCCTTGCGACCCCTCCAGGGGTCCCGACCCCCAGGTTGAGAAACACTGTTCTAGAGGCATTCTCTCCTGACGTTTCGCCTGCATCTATGGCAAGCATCCTCAGAGGTAGTGAGGTCTGTTGGAAGTAGGAAAATGGGTTTATATATCTGTGGAATGACCAGGGTGGGACAAAGGACTCTTGTCTGCTGGAGCGAGGTGTGCATGTTTCAACTGACCACCTTGATTAGCATTTGATGGCCTGGTAGTGCCTGGGGCAATCTTTTGTTGAGAAGTGATTAGGCCTGATTGTTTCCCCTCTGTTGTTTTGCTGTTGTAATTTTAGAGTTTTTTTTTAATACTGGTAGCCAGATTTTATTACTGATAACCAACCTGAACACAGCATATTATTGGAGAACACAGAAATGCTGGACCACTCGAACAACCCCCATGTCAGACTACACAGAGAAGCCATTGAAATCCATAAGCATGTGGACAATTTCAACAGAAAGGAGGAAACAATGAAAATGAACAAAATCTGGCTACCAGTATTAAAAAAAACTCTAAAATTACAACAGCAAAACAGCAGAGAGGAAACAATCAGGGTCAGCTAATCACCTCTCAACAAAAGATTGCCCCAGGCACTGCCATGCCATTAATACCTAATTGAGGTGGTGAGTTGAAATATTCAAACCTAGCCCCAACAGACAAGAGTCGAATGCAAATCAAGGTGATCGGCTGAAACATTCACACCTAGCTCCAGCAGACAAGAGTCCTTTGTCCCACCCTGGTCATTCCACAGATATATAAATCCTTTTCCTAGTTCCAACAGATCTCATTACCTCTGAGGATGCTTGCCATAGATGCAGGCGAAACGTCAGGAAAAATGCCTCTAGAACATGGCCATATAGCCCAAAAAAACCTACAACAACCCAATAATATGATAGTAATTCTGTCTTCCTGCCTGGCAGAAGGGGGTTGGACTGGATGGCCTTTGAGAGTCTCTTTCAACTCTGTAATACTAATACCAATACTACTACTACTACTACTACAATAATAATAATAATAATAATAATAATAATAATATATTAATGCATAATAATATTAAGAATAATTCTATCTTCCTGCCTGGTAGAAGGGGGTTGGACTGGATGGCCTTTGGGAGTCTCTTCCAACTCCATAATACTAATACCAATACTACTACTACTACTACTACTACTAATAATAATAATAATAATAATAATAATAATAATATATTAATGCATAATAATATAATAATAATTCTATCTTCCTGCCTGGTAGAAGGGGGTTGGACTGGATGGCCTTTGGGAGTCTCTTCCAACTCCATAATACTAACACCAATACTAATACTAATAATAATAATAATAATAATAATATATTAATGCATAATAATATAATAATAATTCTATCTTCCTGCCTAGCAGAAGGGGGTTAGACAGGATGGCCAACAACAACAACAAGGGATTATAATAATAATAGTAATTCCGTCTTTCTGCCTAGCAGAAGGAGCTTGGACTGGATGGCCTTAGGAAGTCTGTTCCAACTCAATAATAGTAATAATTAATAGATAATAATAGATAAGAGTGGATAATAATATAATAGTAATTCTATCTTCCTGCCTGGTGGGAGAGGTTGGACTGGATGTCCTTTGGGGTCTCTTCCAACTCCAAGATGATGATAGATAGATAGATAGATAGATAGATAGATAGATAGATAGAATAGATAGATAGATAGATAGATAGATAGATATTAATGGATAATAATATAATAGTAATTCTATCGTCCTGCCTGGTGGGAGAGGTTGGACTGGATGTCCTTTGGGGTCTCTTCCAACTTCAAGATGATGATAGATAGATAGATAGATAGATAGATAGATAGATAGATAGATAGATAGATATTAATGGATAATAATATAATAGTAATTCTATCGTCCTGCCTGGTGGGAGAGGTTGGACTGGATGGCCTTTGGGGTCTTCCAACTCCATGATGATGATGATGATGATGATGATGATGATGATGATAGATAGATATTAATGAATAATAATATAATAGTAATTCTATCTTCCTGCCTAGTTGGAGAGGTTGGACTGGATGGCCTTTGGGGTCTCTTCCAACTTCAAGATGATGGATGATAGATAGATAGATAGATAGATAGATAGATAGATAGATAGATAGATAGATAGATAGATAGATAGATAGATAGATATTAATGGATAATAATATAATAGTAATTCTATCGTCCTGCCTGGTGGGAGAGGTTGGACTGGATGTCCTTTGGGGTCTCTTCCAACTTCAAGATGATGATAGATAGATAGATAGATAGATAGATAGATAGATAGATAGATAGATAGATAGATAGATAGATAGATAGATAGATAGATAGATATTAATGGATAATAATATAATAGTAATTCTATCGTCCTGCCTGGTGGGAGAGGTTGGACTGGATGTCCTTTGGGGTCTCTTCCAACTTCAAGATGATGATAGATAGATAGATAGATAGATAGATAGATAGATAGATAGATAGATAGATAGATATTAATGGATAATAATATAATAGTAATTCTATCGTCCTGCCTGGTGGGAGAGGTTGGACTGGATGGCCTTTGGGGTCTCTTCCAACTCCATGATGATGATGATGATGATGATGATGATAGATATTAATGAATAATAATATAATAGTAATTCTATCTTCCTGCCTGGTTGGAGAGGTTGGACTGGATGTCCTTTGGGGTCTCTTCCAACTTCAAGATGATGATGATAGATAGATAGATAGATAGATAGATAGATAGATAGATAGATAGATAGATATTAATGGATAATAATATAATAGTAATTCTATCTTCCTGCCTTGTGGAAGAGGTTGGACTGGATGGCCTTTCTATTCCAACCCAACAACAAAAACTATAATAATAAAGGCTAATAATATAGTAATTCTGTCTTCCTGCCTTGCTGATTCCAAAGTTGTCCAGTCCGATGATGGGTCTCAATGGCACCCCACCAGTTGAATCCCAGTTGCTTGACTCATATTTATGTGTGTGTTGTTGTTTTTTAGAACTTCCCATTGATTTCTGCATCTCGGTGGCTGCTGAAAAGAGGGGAGCTCTCCTTGCTCCTGGCAGAAGAAGGAGGGATTTTCCGGAAGGGCTTTGGACGTGGGGCCGGCTATCTCTTCGTCTTCAACGACGTCCTGATCATCACCAAGAAAAAGAGGTGAAAGAGAGAGAAAGGGAAAAGGACACCTTGAGATAGATAGATAGATAGATAGATAGATAGATAGATAGATAGATATAGATATAGATATAAATGTAATGCTTGTTTGTGGGATTAACAGAACTCAAAAACCGGGAATTGACACCAAATTTGGACACGATACACCTATCAACCCAGTGTATGTCCTTCACTAAAAAAAATGAAAAGAAAAAGCAGAAAGGACTTCTAAACTGCATGACCACAAAGGAGAAACTGCATGTCCACAAAGAGACCCATGGCCACACCCCCTCCTCCTCCTCGCGGGGAAACAGCCATTAAAGCATGAGGAGCCAGACGTGCGTACACGGCCACACACACACACACACAAGCCAGAGTGGGCACCATGGGAGTGGAGGTGAAGGCTTGCCGCATGGAGCCCCTTCTCTTTCCCTGCTATGTCAGGAGGGCAGTCTCCTCCTCCTTTCCCTGTTGGAAGAGGAAGGGGCGGATTCCTTCCTTTTCTTCTTTCCCTCTTTCCCTTGTTTCCTGTTCCTCCTTCCTTCTTCCTTTCCTTCTTTTCATCCCTCCCTCCCTTCCTTCCTTTCCTCCTTCTTTCCCTTTATTTCCTTTCCCTTCATTTCCTTCCCTCCCTCCTTTCTTCATCCCCCTCCTTTCTTCCCTCCCTCCTTCCTTCCTTCCTTCCTTCCTTCCTTCCTTCCTTCTTCCTTCCTTCCTTCCCTCCTTCGTTCCCTCCCTCCTTCCTTCCTCCTTCCTTCCTTCCTTTCTTCCTGTCCCTCCTTCTTTCTTTTCCTTCCTACCCTTCTTTCTCTCCCTTTCTTTTCCCTCCTTCCTTCCTGTCCCTCCTTCCTTTCCTTCTTTCCTCCCTTCCTTTCCTCCTTCTTTCCCTTTCTTTATTTCCTTCCCCTTCATTTCCTTCCCTCCCTCCTTTCTTCACCCCTTCCTTCCTTCCTTCCTTCCTTCCTTTCTTTCCTTCCTGTCCCTCCTTCTTTCCCTCCCTCCCTTCTTTCCTCCTCCTTTCCCTTTCTTTATTTCCTTCCCCTTCATTTCCTTCCCTCCCTCCTTTCTTCATCCCCTCCTTCCTTTCCCTCCTTTCTTCCTTCTTTCTTCCTTCCTTCCTTCCTTCCTTCCTTCCTTCCTTCCTTCCTTCCTTCCTTTCCTCCTTCCTTCCTTCCTTCCTGTCCCTCCTTCTTTCTCTCCTCCTTCCTTCCTCCTTCTTTCCCTTCTTCTCTCTCTTTCTCCTTCCTTTCTTTCCTCTTTCCCTGTTGTCTTTCTTTCCCTCTTTCCCTTCCTTCCTTCCTTCCTTCCTTCCTTCCTTCCTTCCTTCCTTCCTTCCTTTCCTCCTTCTTTTTCTTCCTTCCCTTCTTTCCTTCCTTCCCTCCTTCCCTTTCTTTTCCCTTCCTGTCCCTTCCTTCCTTCCTTCTTCCTTTCCTTCTTTCTATGTAAGATATAAATACAATATTAAATGGGACAGTCAAGAAGTAATGAGAGAAGGAGAGAAAGAGGAAAGGAATGAAGGAGGGAAAGGGGGAAGGAAGGAAGGAGAGAAGGAGGGAGGAAAAGAAGTAAAGAAAGAAAGTTAGAGAAGCAAAGAAGGAGAGAAGGAAATAAAAAAGTGAAAGGAAAAAGAAATAGGAAGGAAGGAAGGAAGGAAGGAAGGAGAGAAGGATGTAACCAAAGAGCAAAGAAAGGGAGGAAAGAAACAGGTAGAGATGGAAGAAAGAAGAGAAATAGGGAAAGAAAAAGGGGAAAGGAAGGAAAGAGGGAAGGAAGGAGAGAAAGAGGGAGGGAAGGTTGGCCACAGCAGCGCGTGGCGGATACAGCTAGTATTTATATAGTTAACATAACTAGCTGTACCCGCCACGCGTTGCTGTGGTCAACCTTCCCTCCCTCTTTTTCTCCTTCTTCCTTTCTCTCCTCTTCCCTCTCTTTCCTTCCTTCCCTCTTTTTCCTTCCCTTCTTCCTTCTTTCCTTCTTTCTTTCCTCGCTTCCTTTGCTCTTTGGTTCCATCCTTCCTTCTCTCTTTCCTTCCTTCCCTCCCCCTCTCTTTCATTCCTTCTCTCCTTCCTTCCCTCTCACTTTCCTTCCTTCTTTCACTTTTTTTCCTTCTCTCTTTCTTTCCTCTCCTTCCCTCCTTGTGAATCCCAGTGACTACAACTCCCAAATGTCAAGGTCTATTTTCCCCCAAACTCCATCTGTGTTCATATTTGGGCATAATGAGTATTCCTGCCAAGTTTAGTCCAGATCCATCATTGTTTGAGTCCACAGTGCTCTCTGGATGTAGGTGAACTACAACTCCCAAACTCAAGGTCAATGCCCACCAAACCCTTCCAGTCTTTTCTGTTGGTCATGGGAGTCCTGTGTGCCAAGTATGGTTCAATTCCATCGTTGATGGAGTTCAGAATGTCTTTGATTGTAGCTGAACTATAAACCCCAGCAACTACAACTCCCAAATGACAAAATCATAATTTTTTGAGTGATGGTCACTCTTTGTGTTGTGAGGTGTTTTGTTGCCAAATTTGGCGGCATTTCGTCCATTGGTTCTTTTGTTTTTAAGGTACTCATTATGCACAGAGCATTTTTATATATATAGATGTAATAATAATAGTAATATCACCAAGAACAAATCAGACCTGGACCTTTGTTAGAAACCAAACCCAGGGAGCTAGACTTGGAATGACAATCCACCGTTTCATTCTTGATGGGATCATCATTCACTTCTTTTTATCACTCCCATGGACTGTCTCATTTTTGCAGAGTTGTCCCAGCTCTGCCTGATATTGTTTCCCTTTGCCCATTGCAGCGAGGAGAGTTACACGGTCCTGAACTATGCCATGCTGGACCAAATCTCGGTGGAGAAAATGGAAAACCCAGATGCTCCTTCATCTCCGTCTGGGAAGCCCAGCTCGAGCGGCATCTCCCGCAACGTCCACTTGTTCCGGGTCTCCATGAACAGGGACAGCGAAGGCAAGCAAGAGACGATTGTGTTGGCGGCAGAAACCCTGTGAGTCTGTATTGCCAGCGATGTTCCAGCAGCCTACTGAGATATACATGCCTTGAAAGGGATCTATCTAAGTATACATTTTGGTTGGTTGGTTTGGTCCCATAAAAACTCCTCTGTGGCTTGATGGAACTGGGCCAAACGTGGCACACAGACCTTTCAGTATATAACTTAACATAATTGTAGCATTTGAACTAAAAGGAACCCACTGTTTTCAGTCCCAAAGCACAGGGAATGGATAGGAACAAAGCGGATTGGCTGAGGCTAGGTGAAGTTGCATCTGTCAGGTAGGAAGATAAGGTACCACCAAGTGTGAGGAGGCTAAATTAACTGATTTATGAGGCCATAAAGAAGACTCCAGCAAAGCATTCCAGCGGGGAAGCATGCGGGGAATGCAGAAGTGCTTCATCAGCGTCGCAGATGGACGATGAAAGCGACAGCTCCCCTGGCGGCCAGAAAAAGTTAAATAGCCTCTGTGTATGTCTGTATATGTTTGTATGTCAAAAATTGGCATTGAGTGTTTGCCATATATGTGTACACTGTAATCCGCCCTGAGTCTCCCTGACTGCATGGAGTGTCTATGCCTTTCCTAAAGCGGTACCTATTGTTCTACTCACTAGGCCTGTTTGATCAAGAAAAAATTTGTTTCTAAAATCGATTTGTAATTGGGGTGTTTTTTTGTTTCGATATTTAAAATAATTACAAAACTTTCCAAAAAAGTTTTGGTATTTAAGAAATTTTGTAAATATTAACGAATTTTTAGAATATTTTTGGTATTTCTTAAGAATAATATTAAAATAATATTAATAAATATTTTAAAATGGAAAATTAACCAAAAAATGGCCCAAATGTGGACCAAACACAGGCAGGATACAGCAAATGAGAGCACACACCAACAGAAGAGTCTTTTCTTTTTTAGAATATTTTTTAAGAATAATATTAAAATAATATAAAAAATAATATTAAAATAATATTAAAAAATATTTTAAAATGGAAAATTAACCAAAAAATGACCAAACACAGGCAGGAGACAGCAAATGAGAGCACACACCAACAGAAGAGTCTTTTCTTTTTTAGAATATTTTTTAAGAATAATATTAAAAAATAATATTAAAAATAATATTAAAAAATAATATTAAAATAATATTAAAAATAATATTAAAAAATAATATTAAAAATATTTTAAAATGGAAAATTAACCAAAAAATGGCCCAAATGTGGACCAAACACAGGCAAGAGACAGAAAATGAAGCAAGCAGCACTCACAGCAGCAAGGAATGAATCCAATCCCAGTTGCTAGCAGCCATTGCCAAGCCAACCCAATGCAAACTCCCTCGCCCTCGCC